AAATAATATTATAAATTTTCTTACCATTTAATACTTCGAATATTTTGAATAAAATTAAGTATAATTAATAGATTATAATATTTGATGAATAATTATATTTGCTATTAAATTACCTTTATCACTCGAAACACTCGAAACTAATTATATATTTCAAATTATAAATTTTTAGTAAATAAAAATATAATTAATATAGTTAACGACGAATTACAGTATTATTATAGTTATTATATTTAATTTCATCATTTAAGGTAGGTTTACATTATAAATTTTCGTAGTATTAATTTATTTACCTTCGTCACTTGAAGCTGGTTCTACGTTAAATTTGATCAAATTTAGTTTTTAGTAAATGAAATTAACGAATATAACATTAATATGGTTAATAAATAATACATGGAAGGAAGTACCCTCTATTTCTTCTAAAGAGGATGTTTTCTTAGCATCCGAAACTGGCTCTGTGAATTTATGGAAATATATTTTTTAGAAAATCATCAAATAAATTCATTTGAGATATTCAGAGCTTCATACTTTTTATTCCTTTTATTAAAAATTTGTTAAAAAAAAAAAAATAATAATTTCAAAATATTATCTTGTATAACGTTAACAGAATATAATAGTGTACCCGGGCGATGCCCCGGGTACGCCAACGCAACGATCAAATATTTAGATTGTAATGTATGTATTTTTCAAAGCTGCACATATGCATGCATAAATGCTATTGATTTTTTTATAATTAGTTTTTGTATTAAAGACTCGGAGGCCATTTTCTCGCGATCTAACAATCGGCATCTCGAGAAATCTGCACCTTCATGTTCGCCGAGATGCGCTCTTAAAAACGATATGTGCTGCATCTCTAACGGATCACTGGGCTCTGAGATATTCAAGAAAACGTTAATTTTTGGCTTCGTAACCAATATATTTTCGAAATTCCCGGGATTTTATTTTGCCACCAAAATGAGGTACACTAATTGCCAAATATGTACTTATGTTGCACAGAGTCCTAAAAAGGCATTTTTCGCCCATTGAAAAATTGGAACAAAATTCCAAATATGGGTTGGCGTTACGTAAATCATGTGACATTTCGCAAAATGAAAAAAATTTCCTAAAACATCGAGAAATTCCATGATGATCTAGGGAAATCTGGCGGAAATCTACGGAATGGCCTCTTTTTATAGTGACGCAAACTTGCAGTTCGACCCGGGGTTCGTAACGCATATAAGGTATTAACTAAAATTTTGAAATCGTATAAGTTTAATTTTATAATTTAATAAACTGTTTACAATAAGCATATATGAATTGATTAGAATTTTGCCACTATGTGGCAAAATCCTAACCAATAAATAAAATAATTTATGTAATATTTTGATTATATACAATTAAATTTAAATACTTTTAAAATAAATACAAATAATACAAATTAAGTATACAAAATTAAATATACAAAATTAATTAAATAAATACCTTTATAACTTATTAAACTAGGGAACAGAAACCGTTAGACAAGTCCGGAGCGAAATTTAACGAATAATAAAGCAGATCAAATTCAAATTCGTGACAATTGTTTATTATAGTTTTTAATTAATTAGCTCATAAAGAATTTTATACAATTTAATTTAAATAAATTGAACAAATTCATATAAAAAAATTAAATTTAATAATTTAAATCAAAATAAAAATTGCATATATAAAATCGGAATAAAAATTTTAATTGTTAATGTCTTAATCAAAATACTAATGATGAGATACTTAGAAAGAACGATGAAATACTTAGAAAGTGAAATAATAGGGTTCGAGAGACTGTCAAAAGTGAAGTGGGGCTCGCATGTGAACGCGAATTAAAACGTCAAAAACGTGCGAAAGAAACTGAAAAAAAAAACGTGATGAGCGTCTTTCAAGCGTTTGAGAAAAAGAAAGGAAAAAACCAATTCAGAAACCACCGATGAACGTGAAAAACGATTGGCTCGCAAAAATAAGCGGAAACATAATGTACGAGAACGTAACAAACAAGTTCAACAAGAAAGAATAGAATATCAGCAAAGAAACGCAAATGAACAAATTCATCACGAAACAATAGATAATCCAGGTGTACCTGATAGAACAGATTCAGCTACAACAATCAGCGCGGAATAGCAAGAATTGTTGAAGAAATTTCGAAAAAAAATGGATAACATCCAGCATAAACCTTGCCCTGAAAAAATATATATCGTTAAGGAAATGTGCTGACGTTGATACGATGCCAAAGAAATTCTCAGCTGAAATAATAATAGTTAAGAATTTAGCAAGGCAATCGTTCAATGAATGTTTAATCTGAACTGTTAAGCTATTAGGTAAAATGCTGAATTGCTAAAGAAAAATCCTTAGTCCACTTGGATTATTATTTTTTTGAATGATGTCATGAAAATCTAAATCACCAAGTCTAAGGTTGCGGGGAAACCTTAGAAACTATTATGATAGTTTCGATGGTTTCGACAACGATTTGTGATTCAAGATGTCAATTTATTTAAATTTGAAAAGATTTAACGAGAGCTTTAACAGGTTGAATTTCGAGAATATTTCGAACCTTGACTGAGATTTGGACAAATTAAATAAACTTTAAGAAAAATCCTCATGAAATTTTACCTGGTATAAATCAGGACTTTCCAAAAGGTGTAATAAAATATACCCGAAGGGGAGTTATTTTTATTTTGAGGGATAAGTTGAAAATCTCACTTTAAATCAAAGAGTTTGACAGGTTTTGTCAACCGTTGAAACATTTGTTAAGATAAGAATGGAAACTATTACTATCCGTCGAAACTTTCGCGGTTTTATCTTAAAAAAACGATTTTGGCAAAGTTTTTTTTTAATTTTATCACGTCATAACATCAGCGTTTCGAAATGAAGTTCGGAGATTATTTTTTATCAGCTCCTTTTACCTGTAACAATCAATATGATAGCGTTACTGCGTTACACATTTTTGTTTGTCTAAAATTTTAGTTTTTCCATTTGATCGATCTGCAAAAATAATTATTATAAAAAACCGATTTTTTTTTTTATGAAACCGTGAAAGAAATTATTATAATTCAATCCATCTTGATTAAAGGATGCAGTATATTCATTTGTTTTTGTTTTTGTTTTTTTTTTTAGCTTTAATACATTAACGCTTAAAACATTTTGCGAAACGAATTAAACTATTCGCATATTCGCTGTATCAAAACAATTTTCAAAGTCGTACAAACTATATATGTATAATTCAAACTTTATACTGTATTTTATTTGTCGTAACATCAGGAAAAATTTTTTTTTTTTAAAAAAAAAAACAATATATAGAAATTGCACATTAGCTCGTAAGAAAAATTGACAATAGAAAGTAAATCTATTTCTTAAATCTTATTCTATAATAAAAATCAATTTATGAGATGAAAGCGGAATATGGATACTTGCATCATACTATCTGTTATGAATCATTATATCATATGGTGGAGCGATATTATTGTTTTGATTATAACTAACATTGACAGGAGGTATATCGTTTCCCTCCACTACATCATCTTTCAATCCTTCCATGTATTTTACATCTACTACATACTCTCTCAAGAAGACTTCTAAGGAATTAACACGACTTTGTAATGCTATAAGTTCACGAGAAATTTCTTGTGGATTACTTGATACTCCAAGATTTTGAACTAGTGGGATTACTGTAAGTTCTTTTCGAAGTTTATTATGCGTTCTGCCACGTAATCCACAACTATGATGCACACAACCCCAAGGACGGATCACATTTGTTCCTATTTACAAAGGAAAGGATAATTAACGTCAATGAACTTTGAATTTAAAAGAAATCAAATCGTAAATTTATTACCAAACAAAATAATGTATATTGTCGAGGCTATGCCGTAAGCACCGCCCACGAGACCAAATATACTGAACACCTATTTTAAATGGAATAATAGTTTATAAATGCAATTCAACCTAAAAAAAAACTTAACAAGATTTCCTTACAGTTCGTGTTCTAGAATATTGGCAAGAATATTTTTAATAAGTGATTTTTGTAATTTTACGCAAGTTATCGGAAATGATCCATACCTTTGTTCAGTCTCTATTTTAATGAAGAAATATTGTACATTTAAAAGAACTATGCTACTTAAGACTCCATTGGTTAACTTATCATTTTCAATAGGTTCTGTCTCTATATCAATAAATAAGATATGATAGTGTTATAATTACAATGATAATAAGCGATTGTCATTCATTTATAATGTTACTTACGAATATTGGACAAAATGTAAGGTATTTCATCATAAGTTGGAGAAATTCCAAGGGTAGCTTTGTATTCTGAATTAATAACCTTTTTTATATGTCTATTAAAACTTACACGTCCTCTCTAATAATATGTAAATAAATTTAAGGATTTTTTTTTTTTTTTTAAAAAAAAATGCTTTTATTAATAATCAATCTTACCTGTCCATTGGGCACAATATACATATTATTCGTGACATATTCTCTAATATTGTTAGGCAAATTATCAAAAGCTATGTGATCGAGCTCACCGTTTGAGAGTTTTAAAGGATTTTTTTCTAAATAAATATAATTATTATTATTGATTATTTATATATATTTTATACATATTATCAGCAAACATCAAACATTCAAAAAGGAAAATAAAAATCATCATTATTCATTAATTTACCAGCATCAAGAAATACTACTATTGGCGATTTGTCCTGAGCTATAGACGCATCTACGTCTATCGATACTTCTACATGTGATATGGCGTCTGGATTAAGATTTGGATCCTCGTAATGCAAGTGATCATGTGTGAAGTAGCCATAAAAATCATCATTATCTTCATCAGAAGCTTTTGGTTGGATTAAATATTTGTTACAACTAGCATCCGGTATTGCATTATCTAGCGCTATGTCATTCCCTCCTATAAATAGAAAGTTTATTTTAAATCATGGTTAAAATATTCTTTCTTTCTTTAAAAATATTATTATATACTTACGATAAAATGAACAACTTAATTTGAATGGGGTGTGTAAATTAAATAACATCTCTAAAACAGAATTTATTTAATAAAATTATATTGCCTGGTCGGATTTACTTTCACATATACTTACCTGGAACTGGTATAAACCGTGAATCTTTGGTCATATTCTGCATGACTGGATTGTCATGATACAAGTATATAATCAAAAACACAGTATATATTAAGAGGAAAACCGAAAAGAATGTCAAACTAAATGCTCTTAAAACAAAAACTGACATGGGTTCCGTCTTTCGACGTCGAGAGAAAACTTCATCATAATACATCTTTTTTTTTCTTTTTCTTTTCTTATTTTATTTTTTATTTATTTATTTTTTTAATTTACTAAATCTTTTAAATCTTTTATTTATTTTAATTTTATTTAATTTATTTTTTTAAAAAAAGTAATTACGTTATTAAATTTGCTTGCGCTCGTTAATTATAATTAAATCATTTTTGGTGATTTTTATACTGATAAAAATACTCAGCCCAATAATTGGTTGGTATCACACAAATAGATCTCCTAAAAAAAACGATTTGAAGTTAACTCGAAAAGTAATTTATGGCGTAAGTTCACCCAATAATGTGCGCAAATTCAAAAAAAAATCTCAATAAAATTAATTGTTTAATTCTGGTCGAATAGTTTTCTTTCTTTTTGTTTTTGTTTATTTTTAAAAATTAAAAAGAGTATTCCGCCTAATGATTGGGCGAATTTAATGAATTTAAATTAATATGCATACATTCAAGTTTGACCATCATACACATGCATTTCCACAATATTCATAATGCCAAGCAAACCTTTATTGTGTTAATTATTAAAGGAAAATAATAAAAAAATAAAAGGATTGCAAACGTAATAAAATCACGAAAATCAATTTATATATCGTTCGATGGGTATAATTTTTTAACTTTATTTTACATTTTATAAATAATCAAGACTCTTGATATTTACACTTGCTTTCAATTTTATTTGACAAAAATGAAAAAAAACACAAGATTGATTATGGGGCTCAGTCAATTAACGAGTATTTTTTTTTTTTTTTTGTGATCCGCCTTTGGTTAAATTATTTCAAATCATGTTAATAGAACCATAAAGTATATAGGTATATAGGTATAGAAATTTACATTTATAAAATTAAAAGAATTAATTTTCACATGAATTTTTTTTTTTTAGATTAGATTAGAAATACCATTCATTGAATAAATTTTTTTGATTATAGAATAGTAGAGATGATGCACATTAGGGCGGTAACACGAATAATTTGTTATTCATATAAAGATTTCTAGAATTTTAAATAGGAATCTAGAATAGGAAAATCCATACGATTTTGTGCCGATTTTGCGCCAAAAATAACACTACCTGTACGTTCAACAATATCAATATCTGAATTAGGAAAAATCAACTGTGCTAGTCAATAAAGTTTATTTGCTTGCTTAAATTTATCATAGATAGTACTTTCCAAGTTTTTAAATATCAGTTTGTTATTATTTGCAATTTTTGTAAAAAATTAATTAATTTAATTTACCATCTATTAGTAATATTAAATTTTCAATACGTTGATAAAACACTAAACTATACAAAATCTGTTTTGATTTTTCAGTACAATTTTTATATATTTTAAATTTAAATTTTTTTCTGTAGGATTTCTCTGTTAAGATTTCTGTACGATTATTTTTGTATGAAAAATTGAAATAACTACAAAAAACCGTATGATTTCAGTATACACTTGTACAAAATCTGTACTTCTAATGTTCCATCATCTGCATATTCAAGAATAAGTTTAAAGTATCTAAAGTATATAAAATTATTAAACAATAATTCATTTACCCTGTAAATTCGTATTTCCATAAAAAATAACTATTTTTTTTTATAAATTCCATTAAATCTAGGAAAGAATATAATTAATCGGATAAAAATATTCAAAACTATACAAGTAAATAACAAACTTCGGCATATTGTTTAAATTGAGCACTTTTCCAATATGCAGCATAAACCAAAGCAGTACCTTCAGAATCGATTACAAAAAAAAAGAAGAAAAATCGTTGAGAGTTACAATTAGGATGTATCCATTATTGCGCAGATGCAACAAATTCAAGCACATTATACTCTTATACGAGAAGTCAATAAATATTTCAAATATCTAAGCTTTATTTATCATTTTTTTTAATAAGGGCTATTTCCAAAGCAGGTAATTTATCAACAATGTTAAAACAAGTGAATAAAAGGGCCACTTATTTCTTAGTGAGTTTCTCATAATTTTCAATGTTAGAAAAACAATTATTCACGTCATTTTCATCAATAGCAATAGGGGTAGTCATGCCTATAATTAATGGATTGCGTAAAGTAATGGTTTTGAATAAAAGAAAGCAATTTTTTTTTTTTTCGAAGAAATATAATAAAAATCGGCATTCGTACAGATTGATCAAAAAATAAAAGCCAAATTTTTTCAAAATAAAAATGGACCTCATCAATAGAAATACTCAGTAAATTAATATGCGACGAAGGAACATACGTTTCCTAGTGCTGTAACGAATGCGTCAAATCTTCCGAATTTCTTGGAGCTCTAGTGTAAGAATTATGAATCGTGTATCGTCATCTTGAATTATCGCGAAATTATTTTAATAAAAAAAAATTATAAAAATTTTTAATTTATACAAAATTATACCACTAAAAATGGTTGTTAATTCAAATACAATTAATTCATGAATTACAAATTAAAAAAAGCCAACCGCCGATGTATATCGAATTAAAGTTATTAAATGTTTTGATATTGATATTGTGTTAATAAATATGTATTTATTTTATTTTTTTGAAGATATTTTGTATATTTATCGTAAAAAATGAAATCAAAAATTTGAATAGTTATGGGGTTATGCGGAATTACTGATCATGGTAGAAATGGTATCAAGAAGCTTTATTACTTGGGCATGAAGAGTCTAGCATTAATATCAGTAGCAGAAATGAAAATTTTTATTATATATGACGAAAAATGCATTAAATTTGTCTTATGCTATGATATATATATTTAACGCAAATTATACTAATTATAACATAAATAAATCACAATTGATCAAAGCAAATATAGAATCCAGATTAACATTGTTTCTTTTTTGAGTTTTTTTTTCGATTTCTTTTTCTTCTCTGCAACAGAGAGATCAACCATTTTTGGTGGCGGATTTGTCAAAGGTAAATTCATTTGATGAAACTGGGTGAAAAGGAACAATGTTTAAAAATTAAGATAAAAAAAAAAGAATGAAGTAAATCTCAACATACCATTGACAGCGTAAAATTCAACAATAATCCCATCGAGCTCAATCCCATGTTGCACTCTGAGTGTGAAATACCTTTGTCGTCTTATCACCAAATGGCCATAAAAGAGCACAATTTGAGTTGTCCTATTCGAACACACGACCATAGCAGTCCAGAACGATAATGATATGATCAAAACCATAATGCTTAATAGATTCCATATAACATATACAAGTAGACATTCTTCAAGATCAAAGTTAAGATGATTTACATCGCGTTATACTGTTGTAGCCCAAACGTCACCATGTTCCAAGTTAAACTTGGGATATCCCAAATCGGAATTCCTATTTCGGACTTCTCAAACTGCAATTTCTAATTTGGGATGATCGTTTTAACTTGGGATATGGTGACGTTTGGGCTACAACATATCCATTACGGTATGATTGTTTAATTTCCATTACGATTAATATTGTACTGGTATGATTAATACATTTGTCAATCATATCGTACCCGTTTCCAAGTAGTATTAATACATACAACTAAAGTTGCAGGTAAGGTACGCAACTGCACATATGAAACATCATATCTGTATTGCAAATAGTTATCAGACTTTAAAATTATATCAGACCCGTTGACCCTATTCATTTATGTTCGTTTGAAGAATATTAATAATAGTCTTAAGTAAAAATTAGTAATAAATATTATATTTGTACTTGGCATTCATATATAGTAAATCAAAAGTAAAAAATATATTTCCTTTATTTGAAATGAATTCATTTTATTCTATTTTTTTTATATGAACAAAATTATATTTAATTTACCAAATTAATAAAAAGGCGTTTTAAAATCATTAGAACTTTTTTGCATATTACAATTGTATTTATTGAAGCCGTAAGTTACACCTTGAGTAAGTTCGAGCAAGTTTGCCTTTAGAATTTTAAACAAGAAACTGAGTAGCAAATAATAACTTTGCATAACAATATGGTCCCAATTTATTATTCAATTCCTTTGAGTTGCAATTCTTTTAACTTTAGATCAATTTCATTGTTTGAGTTGCATTTTTCTATCTTCTAATGTAATTTCACTTCAATTTCAAGTTCAATTTCAAGTTCACTAGTTACTGTATCAACTAATAATAATGCAAAGTGTTAAAGAGAAGTGGTTAATTTAAATAAAAAAAGGGTGAGAAAAAATTTACGTGAAGTAAAAAAACTAAATAATCATACCATCATACATAAAATCATTATTTACGAATTGTAATTAATAATATCTGGGTTTACGATTTTCTATTGTGATTATTTTTGACTATGATTTATATCATAGTAACTTTAACATATCGGTATGACTAGTATCGTACCTATACATAATCAATCTATCGAATCCTATCATACCGTACTTATATACTATACACTCGTATATTTTGGAAAATTGCATCATACCGTACTGATCATCAAACCAGCCAGTATGGTACGGAGCAAATTTACAGGAATTTATTTGATGATTTGATAATCAAATGCAAATACAATAATCTGATGTATTTGTCCTTCAATAAAAAAATGATTTTATTTTTTGAAATAAAAAAGTGTAATTGTTTTGGCATTTTCAGCTTCATCAATCACATAATTGGCCTGTTACTATTACTAAATTTCAAGCCTTTTAATAAATAAAATATGAGCCGGTTTTCATTTTTTCCTTGTAAAACTGTCAGTATGCTGAAAATAGCTGTACTTGTTAGAAGAAATTTAATAATGTCCAGGTAAGGCAAGGCATGATATGTATATATTAAAGAAAATTTCTTGAATTACATTTTGGGACAAAAATCTATACACGTACTTTTAATTATCCGGTATTGTTCTTTTATTAATGTTTTGATTTACAGACAAATGTGTCAATATTTCATGATCAATAAATAATAATTAAATAAGCTCCTTAGTATTAGAATATGAAGTCATTCCACAAATTACTTATTTAGAATATCATAAATTTCGAACGTTTTATTTTAAATATTTGTGATACCATTTATTGTCACAAAACTTCCTTATTGTTGCTTATAATTGGTAACAGGATTAGAAACAAATTTTATTTCAACAAAATCTTTTAATTTTTTGGAAAATAAAAAAAATGACGTTAATTCTTTATATGCTTCGGCAAGTAGGTGTTTACTTTAATTTTGTTTAGTTTACCAATTGTATTTATATTTTTTTTTTTGCAAATTTAACTGTAATTTTCTTAATTTTTCATATCGTAAGGATTTAATGAGGCGGAATAATTTTGGACCTATTTGTAAGTTTTGCGTGCAATAATGGGCAGAGACCCTTATGAATGGAGGGATCATTGTTGCACTTCGGGAAGAACTAGGTAATTAATAAAGTCACCCAGAATCAAATGCTAATTTTTTCTTTATAGAATAGATGAACAAGTATAGTAATGGCCTTTCTTTCCTGCATATTTTGGTAAGTTCTTAATTATTCTTAATTTGATTTTATTATTCTTTGTAACTTTTTTCTTTTACACAACGTGAAATATATAATCTTATGCATTCAATTATGTCATAATAAATAATTAATCAACAGCGTTAATGCTTCATTCGCATTTTTCCAATTCGTATTAATATGACTAGGAATGTGTCAATTAAGGTATTTTGTCTTTTGTACAAAGTTCGAAGTCTGAAAACAGTACATATTCTTTTATAGTATAGTTTCTGAATATAAATCGGAAGACTTGATATGCAGGCTTTTTTTATAGGAAGAATATATATTATGAAACCAGATCATTATTTGTTAGTTTCATTTAACTTTTTGTGATCGTGGAATGATCAGTTGATAAATTAATGATTTTGTGGACTGAACTTAGTATGATTTTATTCGTTTTCATTGACATTATATTTCTTATGAATGTTTAATTATTAGCATAATATTTTCTTCATTTTACATATTGCCATCTTTTGTTACCTGTATTTTGTGGCCAAGATACAACTTTGCAGTTTATGTATTGTATAAAGTACATTAATGTACGGTTACTCAATTTTATTTTCGAATGTCATCTTTCGCAGGATTGTTCAAATAATTAAAAGAAAGGCTTTCATGTTTTATATCGGCATTTTACCAAGGATACCTTTGTTTCTATTTTTTTTGCAATTTTATAATCAAGTGAAAAGAATAAAATTTTAGCAAAATCATTCATTCAAAATATTCAAAATAAAAATTGATTTCTTCTTCAACAGTTCTTAGTTAATTTCCATATTTAATATCATTATAATGATTCTTTTTTGACGCTGCTAATAAATTGAGAAATACTTCTGAGTTGTATCACAAGAACTGATATTGGGTTAGATTGTTACTTTATATGATGTCAAGATATTGCGATCATTTTAGTAAGCTGAGTTCTATCATAATTAAAATTTATCCTTTAAATATTTATATTAAAATTTATTGATATTAAAAAAAAATTATTCCTAAAAATATACTTCAATTAGTCTATTATTAATTTATATATAAGATCAATATCTGCTAGACGGAATTTCTAAATCAACTAATTTAGTATCTTTGAAATTTTATTATAATAAATTTAGTAAAATATAGTAACTTAAATTAATACCGCAAATAAGAAATTTTTATATTACCTTCGTTATTCTCATCCTTTGCAATAAAAGATGAATTAATAGGCTTTGTCAGTGTTTTAAATGCAAATACTCTACTTATATATATAGCATCAGGATTTGCTTTACATGAAATTGATATATTCGGTATTTCTTTATCAGCTTTTCTAATTGCTTTCTTTATTTCTTTTTTATAATAACCATACTTTATAGTATTATCTGTCAACTTACGATTATAAATAGAATATTTCCAAAAATATAACATGTTATTGAATTCTTGGACTGTTGGCCTTTGATTTGGATTTGCATTCATACACCTAATAGCTAATTTCTTAAAAAATTCGGGAGTTCCTTTTCCAAATTCTGGACGGAGTCCATTACAAACGTCTAAAGCTAGCGTTAAGTCATGAATTTTATTATAAAATGGAGGGTTTCCAGTTGATAATTCCGTCATAATTATACCAAGACTGTATATATCAGAAGCTAAGGTATAAGGATCTCCATTCAAGACTTCAGGAGCGATATATGGCAATACTCCATATATTTTATCATCCGATTTTTGCTTATCTGCTGGTCCTGTTAATCCAAAATCTGAAATATAAGAAAATCTTTCATCTTGCAATATATTTCCACTATGAAAATCCTTATGACAATAACCTAACTCATGTAAAATTTTAAGATTTTTAGTTACATCATACAATATATCTATTTTACTTTTCCATAAAATTTTTTTAAAATTATTTGAAAGATAACTTTTCAAATTTCCCATTACTGCAAATTTTAAGATCATAATAAATTCTTTGGTTATTGGATCCTTAGTTATTCCATAAAATTCTAATGAATCAATACTTTTGTTATTTAAATCCCAATGTGCATTAAGCTAGTTATTATAATAAAAATTTAGAAACATACTTATATTATAATATCAAATATAAATCTAATGTAACTCACCTCGTTTAAATAATCAGCTGACATATCCTGTGATTCCTTCAATTGTTTCAAAGCAACCTTTATAGGTTCTTTATTTAATTTTTTCCAACTTCCATCAAATTGCTTCATAAAATATGATTTACCATCGATCCAAGTTGCAGAATACACTTTGGCAAATCCTCCTTCACCAATTTCTTTTATATCTATGAATCTATCAAAAGGCACCCATTCAAGAAATTTCTGATAATATACTCTTCCTGAATAATGCATTGTATCTTTGATGAATGTATCAATACTAGAATTTCCACTAGTCCATCCTTCAATTATACACCAAGGATCACATTTTTTACACCATATTTCCTCGGAAAATGGTTTATCGCAATAAGAACAATTATTATTTAAGCCATTTAATTTGATAAATTCGGATTTTATAAGGTTTTGAACTTCGTTTTTATTGATATTCACATCCATTTTTTTTTTAAAAAAAATTTCTTTGGATATTTTGTATTTTATTTTGTAATATATAAGGAATTTTCAAATAGGATCAAATGGAAATTATTTTCCGAACAATGCAATGCAGTTGTACAATCAATTTACCCCAAATTTTATAAGTAAATTTCAACCTCACGTGATCGGTGACATTTAAGAGGCAGTAAAACCAAAATTCTGGTCCCCAGAATAAATAGAAAAAATGCAGGGTAAGATGTCGCGTGGGGTGTAAAATTCTGGGAAGTGTACAAATAATATGTGAACTGTGTCAATTATTAATTTTGGCCGAACACCATAACTTCGTGCCAAAAATTTTATTAACCTTTTTAAAAATTGTTACGAAACAAACGATTTAACGATATGTTAATATATTTCTTTTTCTTAGCTTTCATAGAAAATTTTATTCTTTAAAATTGTTATTCAAAAGTTTTTTTTCATCAGCCAAAGTATGAAACTTCTCACACATAAATATATTTCCTATACATTCATAACATCTACTTAAATATAAGATGTTGAATTTGAGAAATTTTCAATAGATTTTCCTCTAGAACTAGCAAGATATACTCAGATATACTATTTTTTTTTTTTTTTTTGCGGATTATTTTCGTTCGAAAGTTTTTGAATGATGATTTTGCGAGAAACTAATAGAATATTTGAATTATCATTTGATTTAGTTAAAGCGAATAAAATAATAAACTAGAACAAATATAATATAAGGCAATGCTGCTGTTGGCAGCGAGTTTATTATGTCTCAAGCTAAAGTTACCTCTTATGCTCGCTCCTATGTTCTTAAGAGAGGTAAATTATATTATAATTTACGAAATTAAAAATTTTGATCAATTTAATAATTGTGCAAATAATCGAAATTTAGAAAATAAGATCTTATTTAATGAAAAATAGTTCCAAATATTACTGCTTCAGCCAGTACTCCGTAATAATCCTAAGGAGAAGAGAACCTAATTTCTTCCTTTATAAAACAAAAGAATAAAATCGAAGCTTTTTATAACAAATGTTCTTTTCAAAGGAATTTCATAAAAAATGCAGATGGATCTGCAGACAAAATTATTAAAAGTGATGTCATAAAACCAAATTACTTATTATTCAGAAATTCGATCGTGAAAATATTAAAGCCGCTTTTACTTTACCATTAAATCCATTAAATCATATATTTGACTTTTTATTCAATTTTCCAATTACTTCGATTATGGTAGAATCGAACCCAATCCCTATACCAAGTAATTGTAGTTATTTTAGGCAAACAAATAATATAAATAAAAAATTTGCAATCGAATAATTTAATTGATTCGATTGACATTTTTGAATCGGATAGATATTAGATGTAAAATCCGTATCTTTTCCAAATCATTTAACATAATAAAAACTGAAAATCAACAGGAGAGTAAATTACTAGGGATGTGTTAGTCCTGGCAAAACCGGTCCGCAAATCGGTTAATGAACCGGTCCACATGGTCTTCGGTCCGTG